GCATGTCTTTATCCTGTCTTCCTTCTCTCACCCCAACCAATCACAGCAGATGGCCCCGCCCCTCCCTGAGCCTGGTTCTGCTGGAGGTTTCTTCCTGTTCAAAGGGAGTTTTTCCTTCCCACTGTCGCCAAAGTGCTTGCTCATAGGGGGTCATATGATAGTTGGGCTTTCTCTGAATCCATTATTGTACGATCTACTGTACAATATAAAGCGCCCTTATTTGATTTGGCACTGTATAAATAAAATTGAATTGAACTGAATTGAATACATGGGCAATGATGGTTGAAATGTGATATTGAAGACAGTTCTCATGGCTTAATGCCCACAGAACCTTTATTGCAATTCTTTAAACTCAAAAGATTTTCCCTTAAAAAAGCAGGAGGAGTATTATCATGTCGATAACAGAGAAAATTACTTTTACCCAGCTGATCAGGGGTCGTGCTAAACTACAGAAGAACAGTGTTTAAGTTCCTTGGGATTCACTGTTTAATAAGTACGATTTTTCACAGCTTGTTTTTTTCTTTGCATTTCTTAGTGAATTACAAAGATAAGCTCAAGCTGGAATAAGGAATGTTGTTTCGATGAGTAGGGCTGGATTCCAGTAAGCTGTCCGTCTCTCTAACTCGTGCCCGTTCCTGAAACTCGCACAGAAAAAGAGGGTGTTTGCCAGGAAGGGTGCATGCACGAAACAGTTTAGCTGATGGAAACTGAACATCCAACCTTCCTGTTAAGTCTTAGTAGAAGTCAGCGGCGGATGAGCCTCTTTGCTGACAGATGTACTAAAGAGAACTCTGCTTACCTCAACAGCAGCCTTGGCCCGCTCAAACTCCTCCTCCAGGGACTGATGTCTGGACAGCAGCGCGCTCCCCCACCGCTGCTCCTTTGTTAAGCGAGCCTGTCATACACACATGCATGCACACATTTCATAGTAATATAAACATTTATGCGCAAACAGGCTCCGTTACCTTCACTCACTTGCACATGACAAACCATCACGTTCGCACACACGCTTCAAACATAGAACATCGCATTACACACACGCGCAGATAGGAGGACAGGCGGGCAGGGAGAGTGTGCAGGGTCAGCCGTCTCTGCTTTCTCAGGGATGAGTAAATATCCCTGCCTCAACAAAGCCTCTGACATGCTTAGGAAGGCCAGCCGAATCACTACTGTCAGCACCCCCCCGCCCAGTCCTCGCCTCGCAGACCTGCTCCTCATCTGAACCACATCCTACTTATCCAGCCTCTCACAATTTCACCCTCCGGCCTGGCTCACTCCTGTGTGCATGCAATGTAAAACCAGAATATGCTGATAGATTCCCACTTACACACTTGGATAATGAAGCTTTGCTGTGCTGAGAAAATGGAAACCAACCAATTACACGCAAGTAGTTTTGCATTATCAGAGTGTGGTATAGTTTACACAACTTCATATGCATTCATTTTGAGAAGTAAATGATTCTGAGATACTCGTATACAATGCATTAGGCTTACTAGACATAGCAATAGCTGTATGTATCGCAGGGCTAGGAAATCTATTAGAGACTGCTCCCTGTGCTTGCAGTCCCGCCAGCTATTATCTGTAACATTTCCCATCTGGAAAGATATAATGCAAAATTCATCTTAATGTCACCCAGAATGGGTGCAAGAAAGTGCTTCATGAAGAGCAAAATGCATGCAGTGCCAAAAAGAAAAAGTTGCCACAAATGCAGGATTCTGTATTTGGATTGCTTAAGGAAAAATCCACCCGAAAGTGCTCTGTCACAGTTTCCTCTCCAGCTTAAATCAGAAATGTGGCGAGATTTACTATTCTGCTGCGAGATCTCCAGTCCAGCTGTAGTTTCATACCAGACAACATTTTAACAACTTTTATTCCAAATCCTTGGTGGTTGTTTTTTGGGCTTCTTTCCACACTTTTCACTTTTAGTTCATAACAAGATGGAATTTAGATTACATGGTTACAATTCACACAGTGCAACCTGATGATGTGATTGGGCGTTGCCTTGGCCATCAGTTAATCGTGTATACACCACCTGACTGGTAGTGTATACACTATTAACTTCTCATTCAATGGTTTTTCTTTATTTTCATGTTTACATTGTAGATTCTCACTGAAGGCATCAAAACTAGGAATGAACACAGACGAATTATGTAGAAGACAAAAGTGTGAAATAACTCAAAACATGTTAGATTCTAGCCAGCCTTTGATTTGATTACTGCTTTGCACACTCTTGGCGTTCTCTCCATGAGCTTCATGAGGTCATCTCCTGAAATAGTTTTCCAACAGTGTTGAAGGCGTTTCCAAAGATGCTGAGCACTTGATTGTCCTTTTGCCTTCACTCTGCGCTCCATCTCATCCCAAACCATCTCCATTGGGTTTAGGTCAGGTGACTGGAGGCCGGCCTTCATCACTCTCCTTCTTGGTCAAACAGCCTTCACACAGCCTGGAGGTGAGTGTGGAGTGATTGTGCTGTTGGAAAATAAATGATGGGATGGTGTGTGGCTGCAGGATGCTGTGGTAGCCATGCTGGTTCAATGTGCCTTCAGTTTTGAATAAAACCCCAACAAACCCTAACCCACTGTCAACAAAGCAAAGGATGGCTGCTTTCTAAAATATACAACATGTTTAGAGTTATTTGTCATTTTTGTCTTTGCTGGGTAATTCCATATATGTTGCTTCATAGATTTTAAGTCTTCAGTTTGTATCTACACTGTAGAAAGTAGTAAAAATAAAGAAAAACCATGAAATGAGAAGGTGTGTCCAAACTTATAGGAACCCTGTGTGAAAACCTGATAAGTAAGAACAGCAATCAAGCCTCTGCAATAACTGGCGATGAGTCTCTCACATCGCTGTTGAGGAATGTTTCTTCTTTTGCAGAATTGTTTTTAATGAGACTTTTCTCAGTCATGCACACAGAGGTTGTTGATTGGTGACATAGTCATAGCTAAAAAAACAAATACGTATTCAGGTTTAAAATAATGAGCCCTGAATTTCAAGCAGTGTCTTATTTCCTGTTGGTATTTATTGTTTTGCTTTTTTCCAGCTGTTGTTTGTCTGTGTTTTCTTGTTCTTGCTGCCCAGAGGAAACCCCAAGAATCTGCATTTAAAATGCAAAATGTTTCTGTAAAAGCAGTGGAAGTAAGTAAGCACCAGACTGCTCTGCAGAGCTATTGAGCTCGCGATGATAAAGAAAAATGTAAGATGGGATTGCCAGGACAGGCACTGAGGTGGAGGCCATTTGTTTTCTGTCTGTTTTTATCAAGATTATGCAAAAACCACAAAAGCTAATTTCATGAAGGCTAGCACAGAGGCTAGCACAGAGTCCTTTAAATGTTGAAATCTTTCTTTCAGACATTGGTCTTGGCAGAGGATGTGCCCTCCAGTTGCCCTTCTTATATTTCTAAGACATGATGTTTTTACTAAAGGCTTGATAGGATGAGGACTTACTGGCAAATTACAGTTGGATGAGCTCTTTAAAAGCAGGGACTGAGGAAACAATAAAACCTTGAAGCGTGAAGCTGGAGCTCACAGTGAGCATGCACTGTAACTGCATCATAAAAAGATTTCTTTTCATGTTTATAAACATATAAAATGACGATTCTTTCTCCTCCTTGATGTTTAACTCCACAAAATAACGAGGGTGGATTTTTCCTTTGAAGGTTGAGTTATACACTTGTGTTAGTTCGTGTATGTAAATCTCATGCAGGACCCGCCTCATCTTTGCATGCATTTTTTTTCTGTGTGCGTGTTGTACCTGCTGTGTGGGAAGCTAAAACCACTCTTTACAGTATCTCTGTCAGCGAGCTACAATGTAACTCCTGAGCAAAACAAATTTGGTGTGTTTGTTTGCCAATAGCTCCCCGGCCCCCGTCTCGGACAGCTATCTTTAATCACAAATCTATTATTTATCAGTGTGCTGAAAAGGTGATATAGGCTTAGCTAGCTCGGTGAGCTCAACACTAATGGGTTTGGAGTAAGGCTGCTGAATAATTCATAGGCTATTAATCTAATAATGGCGTCTGAAAACAAGACCCCTATGCAGACCTACACAGAGACACCAACTAAGGCAGAAAGCGCTTGACATTTGGACCTAGTAGCACCACAAAGGAATCCATCCCAAGCCAACTTTGATCTTTATCTTACTTTTTGCTCTCAGTACAGTCACCTTGTTTTTGGTCTTTAGAGCCAGATATTCTGAGAAGGTGTGATGCTGTTTCACTGGTACAAATGTATAAGTCTTTCAGTGTTATATGAAAGGATGCATAGGGAGGCTTACATGTCTTCCACTAATATACTGCCTGTTGAGCTGAAATGGAAGAATTGTAGGTGTTAGGACAAAATGATGGGTAAACAACACACAGTAGGGTGTCTTATTAGATACAAACTTTCATTGTAACACAACATAAACATGCAGTTGGTAAATAAAGCTTAAGTCATCAGTTCTTCAAACGTATATAACGGTGCAACAATCAGAACAATACAGTAAAAAAGTTTGTAAACCCTTTGGAATGACCAGGATTTCTGCACTGATTACTCCTAACATCTGGACTGATCTTTATCAGAGTCACAAAAACAGACATTTTTGAAGATGATTAGTGCTTTTATAAAATAATCCCTGCAGAACTCCCTCTTTTGGGAAAATTTCCTCAGTTTCCTCCAGCTCCCTGTGCGTATGTGGCTCATCTCTGGGTACTCTGACTTCCACCCTGTTAGTTTTATTGGAGATTTTAAATTGACTGTAGGTGCAATATGGAGCATGAAATGGTAACTGATAACCTGTCCTGGATGTTTCCAGGGTGTTCCCTGCCTGGCGTCTGCTCCATGGGTCTCAAAATTTGATAAACAGTGGTTTAGAAAGTGGAGTGATGTTGAAAAAGTCTCTTCTATGGCATTTTACAGCTTCATGCTTCTTAATAATCTTTCCTATAGAGTCCCATTTGTCCCATCATGAAATCTTTACGTGAATGTCAAGAAGCATTTTGACGGCCTTTATTTACAGCGGCGTGCTCTTCTTCTGATTCCAGCTTCTGAAACTGAAGCTCTGACGTCAGTTTTTGGAAACATCAGGATCTCAGACATTCACAAAGCCTACACAAAGTAAGAATGTGTGACATTAATGTGGTCACTTGTACTTGTTTATAAGTGTGATTTAGACAAAGACTCAGGACACGACAGGCAATCAATGCTGGGAGGTTCCACAGCCTTTTCCTGCAGTTGTATGTTCATGTAGTTTGATTTTCTCAAGGAGGGTGGTGGTGCTGGAGGGGGGGGTTCTGGAAAGGGAAACGCTAATGTCGGAGATGTGGAAAGCTTTCTCAGTTAAAAAAGACTTCGAGTGCGCACACAGTGCATAATGAGGATTCCTGCCTTCCACTCACACTCCGAGCACTTACTTGTGATGCCAGTGCAGACTCTGGTTCCAGTTTGGTGTTTGCTTCCAGGGTATTCTTATTTGACGAGTCTATCTGTGGTTTACAATCTATGGACCTAAAGAAAAAAGAGAGAGGACTGGGATGAGCCAGCATGTTAAACATGTTGGCAGTAGAGCTTTAAAGATGAATAATTAGAAAATGGCAGTAAAAAAATGTAATTTTATTACATGTTTGCATAAAACATCACCATGGTAAATATTTACCTTTGAACTCTGCCAATAGCAGATAAAACACTATATAATCAACAGGTGGACAAACATTCGGTCTCCCCTGTTTCACCGTCTACTAAAGTAATGTTTCCTCAGTTACCTAAAATGTTCAGCAGGACTGTTTGTCTAACAAGAAGCAAGCAAAGGAAGTCGTGGGCCTAAAAACCCTGAACATAAAGACACTAAGGCTACGTTCACTCTGCAGGTCTTGATGCTCAATTCTGAATTTTTGATCAAATCCGATTTTTTTTTGTCTGCTTGTTCACACTACAAATAAAATGTGACAGCAAACGGTCTCCAGTGTGAACGCTCAACGCGTCCGCATGCGCAAAAGAAGACGTCACACACAACCCAGACCAAGCAGTAGTGTTTGACTGATGGCCTTAATATAAAGACTTCGGACTTTACGTTTCCCAATTTTGCTCTAAGTTATAAATATAAGTGTAAAGTTATTTACATATGGCCTAATAATTATCCTTATTACAGTTTATCCGTATGACTGTTTTAGAGAGGAGCAGTACAAATAAAATGTTCACGTTTCTCCAACATCGTCTTCCCAACAAACAGGAAGTGTTCACAACGTCTTCCTGGGCGCTGATAGTTGGCGTCTGTCTTGTGTCAGTGACGTAAAAGACGGATTTAATGCGACATGACCATCAAACAGCAGTCGCTTTCTAAAACATCGGATATGTATCGGATTCAGTACCACATACGAAAGTGACCCAGATCGGATTTGAAAATATCGGATTTGATGAGATGAGATAGCCTTTATTTGTCAGTTGCAGGTCTTTTGCCCACAACCGAGATGACAGACCTTGCCGACCGTACATACAACACACAAACATCACATTGGGGAGACAGGTCAGGCCAGGTAGCGAGGAAAAAAACATGGAAATGTGTAACACAGAAGGATAATACAGGAATGCACAGATATCAACACACCATAGCACAATAAACACAGACAGCAACATGGGAAAGTGTTCCAGTGTGCACATCTGATCTGGGACCGCTGCAATCTTTGACTGCGCCTCCAGCTGACCCGGTGTCCACAACGGATGGGAGGTAAGCGTTGGAGGTGGCGTTGGATCCGGGGTAGGGAGGGTGATGCGTCGGTGAGTGCTTATCAGTGTATATGTATGTGTGTGCGTGTCCAGAGTTCAGCTGAGACTGTCCTTCGCCCTGCCAGGCTAAGTAAACAGTCTTCCAGCCAACCCAGGTGGCCTTGTAGGGAATGGGAAGAACAGACTCAACACAGTCGTTATCAGGGTGTTGTTGTTCAGCTCCAGCCTTGAGCCCACAGCTGGCGCCGAAGGGATAGCTGCAATATGATGGTGATTTTTCTTTTGCAAACAACTCATGAGAATTTCAAAGCTGTTCTTTAACACTCCGACACTGGTCTCTCAATGTGCCGTTCACACTGTCACACCATGATCGGATATGAGTCGCAGGGTCAGAAAAGTCGGATTTGATGTGCTTTCGCCTGCAGTGTGAACGTAGCCTAAGACGGTTCTTAGAGGTGGGATAAAAACAAGTCTGAAGGACATTTTTCCTACAAAGTGACACAAATTTTAATGCACAAAAAGTTGCGTAAGCTCTGAGACTTTGGCTACTGATTATTAGACATCTGACAGGGAATTCAGATTTCCAGTGTAAATAATAATGATGCTGGACAGATATGAAAAAGATGATATGATTATTATCCAGTCAGAGTAATACAGAGGTAAGGACCTACCACAGAAACTCATTAGATGAATTTTTAGAAGAACGTCGTCTCTCCAGCTTCCATTTTCTGTTGCCATTTCTTTCAGGGTTGGGATTCAATTCTTCCCATTTATCCAGTGAGCCAATTGTAACTGGTGACAGTAATAACATAACAAAAAACCAAAGTGAAACATGGAAAAACAAAGAAATGTCATTTCAAATTTGCCCGTGAAACATACACAGATGTTCCACTTTCTGTTAATTTGGGGAAACGCTAATGTGTTCAGACAAAAAGCTAAATTAATCAGGTTTGGTGTGCAATTAAATGGTGACACTAATTTTCAAAGATAAGTTATTTTTTCCAGCTTTGAAACACAAACCTTTTAACACGTCTTTCTGAGAGTACAAATAATTAGCTAAAAAACAAAACAAATCTAAACAAATTTAAAAAACGAGAAGACGATCAGCTGTCCACAAATCTATCAGGACACAAAGTTCTGCTTTAAATGACATCACAGTTATAACCAGTCTCCCTCCCATGAGTTATTCACCACACTCGCTCTGCACAGTTACAGACTTTAACCTTTTCAAACACAAAAGGAACTGGCTGTTTCTTTTCTTTTATCCCTTTCATTACATTAAATCGACTCAGTGCTTCTGTGGCCACTCTTGTGCACGTGTGAGGTCACTTCCACACGAGATGATGGGAGTTGTAGTTGTTCAAGTTATAAGGTGTGTCAGAGGGCTCGAGTGGAGGCTGATGAAGGATTGACCACGTTTGCACATTAGTGTTGGCAGCGTGGAGTGGATTCAGTTTTATTGGAGCAGGTCATCCCTGATACTAAGTGTGATTTAGTGTTACTGACAGAAAATCACCCAAACTTTGGAGCGTCTCTCTACCTGAGTCCAGTGATGCCCTCTCTGGGGTTCGCATGCTTGGTGCCGTATGTTCAACTTCCACCTGGATCAGCTCCGTCTCATCTGTCTTTTTCCTGTGTGAGGTGTTCTTCTGGCTGTCTCCCTGGGATAACAGGGCACTCTTTCTGTCCCTGCTGTTCCTCCTCTCTCCAGGTTCGCTGAGATCTAGCAGGTCCAGAGTTGAAGAGAGAACTGTGAGGAGATGGCACATGGTTAGCTTCTCATCTGTCATCTGAAGGATCATTGATAGCCATGGAAACTTCATTCATTAAACGTGTTCTAATTTGATCAAATCTGTTGGAGTGTTGGATTGCACTTAAATTTTCATAGAGTACTTTCCCCCCTTACTCTGGTCTTTTTTAAAAATTAGTAATCTGTGAGTTGACCATCTCCTTATCTCAAATGTAATTTGCGACTTTATTGGCGTCTTTACTTTAAGAGGCCTTCGAGGTTGCATCAAACTTGTAAAACTTTGTAATGAGACTGAATAGCAGGCTTCACTTTTTGTGCACCACGGGCTTTGATTTTGATCGGCACGGTTTCTGACGTGGCATGTAGACCTGTCAGCGGTACTTAAGCTGGAGTATTCCCCCTTAGGTGGGCATCTAAAAATTTTCTGCTGCTCTTTTCAGCCAATCTAAATATACTGCAAATGACTGCACGGTCTGCTAAGGCAGTTTGGTCAGTGCAGTAACTCAAGCACGAGTCATGTTAGGTGGCTCAACAAACAAGAAAACATTACTGTGAAAATGCTCAGGTACAAGGAGAGGACTAAAAATGAAAAAGATCTTCAGAGGTTGAAGAACTCCTGCTCAGGGCTATTTAAAAAATTCTAAGAGAGTCTGGCTCCTTGGAAGCAAAAATATTAAGAAATGAGTGGGGACTAAAAACCTTTGCATCGTATCTATCGTGGCATTTTGTCCTTTTGCAGTAGACTCGCTTCCTTTATTTCCCATCAGTAGTTTAGTGAGAAACACTGCAAACCAAATACATGACATGTTTTTGTGAGGTTAGATTAAAAATTAATGACTTGCTAAAACCCACACTAAAACGTTTTCATACACTGGATATTTGAGGAACCCACAAACTTTTCTTGCTCGCCTCCGAGGAGCCGACGACGACGTCTTTTGAGCCATACGAGCTTAAAAGTGCAGGTACGTGACTGCATAACCGGCATGCTGCTGCTTCATGTCAAGCAACTGAGAGTATTTGTTGACTGAAATCTCTACATAATTAGAGAGTGTGCTCGTTTTCCCAGCCTTGTGCTCTTTAGATGACAAATACAATTAGAAATCAAGGGAGACACACTCGTGTGGATGCTTGCCTGAAGAGTTTCCAGCATCAAAAGAATCACGAACGCTTTATGAAGAGACAGTGATGTAAAAATTGTTTTGCCACCCAGAGTCTCCTTGAAATGATGATGCTAGGAAGAAATACAGCGCACAGTAATTCAATTCAATTCAATTTTATTTATATAGCGCCAAATCACAACATAAGTCGCCTCAAGGCGCTTCATAGATACAGAGAAAAACCCAACAATCACATGACCCCCTATGAGCAGCACTTTGGCAACAGTGGGAAGGAAAAACTCCCTTTTAACAGGAAGAAACCTCCTCAGTAAGCATTTAGAAGTAGTTACTGTGTAGCGGCCAGTGGGTTTGTAGTAAACAAGTATGACCACTGAGACATCGAGAGTCCTGATCTCTTCAGTTTGACACCAGTGAGCCAAAACATAATGACAAATTACAGCTGATTATCTTGTACCAGTGGTCTCCATCGGGCCACGTCAGAGCTCTGAGTGTGTGAAACAGTTTGGACAAAGACCAAACTGTTCAGCGGTGACTCGCTGCTGCAGTGGAGAGAGAACATATTATTGGCCACAAAGTTAGAGGGACGTGTGACCCTCCATGTTAAGAAATATACTCTTAAACACTTCTCCAGGATGTGGGGGTGGACGCTAAAACACCTTAAAGTGTTACAGGCCCCCTAGGATGAAACATTTCACTATGTCACCAACTATATACTTCTAAACACAAATGATTACATGCAGTATTCTACCATATGCAAACTTATATCACTGAAAGATTATACTGACTAATAAGTACAATTTTCCATTGACCCTCCATCATCACAAAACGAAAGGCCTGACACAACTACAAAAACTAAAATCAAGCCAGTAGACAAAATGACACTCTGTTGTTTTGTGACTGATGAAGGAAGCTACTCCCCACACTCACATTCAAGTGTGCAACGATCCAAGAATGGACCAAGTGTGCACACATCAGTGTTTAATTTGTTTAATGTTTAATTTACTAGTAACAATCGAAATGTCATCTTTGGCAATCACTTTTCAAACTTCAATTCCCAAGAATATCATGTATTGACACAATCCTACCACATCACCTTGTGATTTAAGGACAGGAAGTAGCTCCGACGGGAGTGCAGGTGAAAGAAAGGTAGAGGCTGGTGGTCCCAAACTCAGGATTTTCAGCCAGAATTAGTTTGTTTTAATTTACATTTTGATTCGTTTTGGGCACCAAGATGACTTGGATAGGCTTCGAGCTGCAAATACCTCAAGGTACGTTCAGAGAAATGAGCCCATGCTGTGGTGTTTTGGTTACACACGAAGGACAAACAATATGTTAAACGAGGATTTTACTACGATATTAACAATTAAACTGCATCAAAATCCAGCCACATGTCAGACTTTCAGACGTGTTTCACTAAATCACATGAGGACATTTATATTTAGCAGTTTTATAAAGAACACATTGTTAATGACACATCCTTCAAGCCTTCCTTTGACTATTTAAACTAGCAAGTAAACATCAAAGTGATGACAAAAGGAAAAAATGAGAGCAGAAGAGTGTTGGTGAAGCGACTTTCTGTGAATGCGTTAATGTCAGAGCTGCATTGGTCCGGATGGAGACCCCAAACCTCTGCGCTGTTTTCTTTTAAATCACAAATTTAAATAGATGTATAATTGACTCGGTTCTAAACCCCAGATACCTGTGACATCAATTTATAATTAACTGTGGAGGTTTTTAAGACTCAGAAGAGCAAAAAAACCTGCTGCTGTCGACCTGAACAGCAGATGGAAGTGAAACAGAGAAAGCATCATCACGGAGGACTCATGTGGATTAGCATACTTGAGCTCGTAATTATCTTTGCTTGTTCGATTTTGTTAAGTGTCGTGTGGTTCCGGAAACTTCCATCCAGCATGAAAACAAGTTCACAAACAATCAAACCTAAAATTTGCTTCACCTGCATCATTTTATGTAGCTGCAAACTGCAGCAGCAGGAGACTGGACCCAGTGAAATTTGCCTAAACACAGAGTTTTATTCTTATTTTTGACTTCTTATTTCCAAATCACAATGAGAAATAAATCCCTCAGTTCTGCAGTTTATGTTCCTAAACATAATGATTTTTCCATTAGGGAGAGACAGAGTTGCTCACAGCATTTTTCTCAGCTGACGAGAGATGACATGTGTCAGCTGTCTGATCTGCAAACGATGCCATGCGGAAATCAAGATGGTGTTCAGCTTCTGTTAATGTCAGATGGTTGAGTTTCTCAACAGTGAGTCTGATCCAGATTATTTTAGCACAAACAATCGTTTAAAGCACTAATTATAATACATTTGTATTATAATTCTTTAAATATAGTCAGTTTTAATGTTTGAAGTAGAAAATAAATCAGTCCACTATAATGTGTGAGAATCACAGGAAACATTATTGTATGAGGTGAATAAAACTGATTACTGGGGTGTTTAGTAGGGATAGTGTTAAAACTGCAAATAGAGCTGAAAAGGAAATGTTAGAATGAACCTTTGTTAGATGCTAAAACCTTTTTTTAAATATATATATACAGTACATCCTTCAACAGCTAATGTTTGTGCAAGCACTGGGCATCACTGAGTGCAACCTGTGGACAGTGAAGAATCAAAATATCATATAATATATGAAGGTCTATTGATCTGACTTGAGGCACAGGTAAATTATATAAAAGAAAGAAACTCGTCTCCAGGATTTTGGCCGTGTTGGATAAAAAGAGGAAGTGACATCCATTTGTTCTAGTCCCAACATGGCTCAGAAAGGTTTTCCTGGCTATTAAATATGAGTAGATTTTAATATAATGCTTGTACAAATGAAAGAAAAATACTTGATGTAAGCACATTATCATCAGCTTAAATGCGGAAATAAAAGTGCTGTACCGGCTGTGTTGGAAGTAACTGGGCGGGAAACCCCATCGCACTTGGTCTCGCAGAGGAAATCGTCGATAGAAGGGCTTAGAAGCGGGCGGCTCTCTTGTTGCTCGCTCACCAGCTGCAGGGACAAACACATGAGACAGTTCAGGCTCTCTTCGCATGTCTCTCATGCTAAACTCCCTTCAAATCGTCTGTGAAAGCCCCCCAAAGCCTTATTATTATGAGGGGAAATTCAGGCCACTGGTTCACATGACAGCAGAGCTATACTGTCAAATCCCTATGAGTGTGTAAACTTCTACAACTCTGTCCTTTGGGGGGCGACATGCTCGTGGTGCACATTATTTAACGACAGCATGTGACGGCACATACTGAACCTGCGGCCTCTCGGCTAAGCCCACTGTGACTTCTCTCTGCAAACTGATGTGTGCGCGTGGCATATGGTTGAACACAGCTGGTATTTCATGATTGTTATCACACAATCACATCTCTATGGCACCAACAAACCCTCAGGTTACTACAGAAAGAAGAGCAGGTTATTGGAGTGTGTGTCATGCACTGAGATCCAGATGAGCTGGACTCGGAGCTGCTTGGTGTCCAGAACAATAATTACATAACCATTCCTGCTTATCTCACCTTCCAAACCATGAAATGCTAATCACTTTGCCTTTGATGCACCAATTTGTAGGGTTGCCAGAGCAGCTGCTGAATAGGTCACATCCAGTTCATTATTGGTACTACGAATCCTCACAACACTTCAGGTGCAGCTGGTCTCAATTTGCCAGCCATTTCTTCATCATTTGGAGAGGAAAGCAGCCGCCACCGGTGATGTCATTGTGTAGCGTGTCCATAATGCTGGCAGCGAGGAAATGTGACATTTCCTGTTGTTGCTCTGCAGGCCATGGCCACAAGCAGAATTTTAATGAAGGTCCTGTTAGTTAGCAAGCATGAAGTGCGCTGAGCACAATCTGCCATATGCTCGATGAAGTGTTGGATGGGCTTTTGATAGCGTTATATTACTTTACAATTATGCTGACTTCCTGAATAAATCTGGAGTGCATGCTGGGCCCTGCTCGACCTCTGTTGGAGAAATTATGAAAAACAAATATCTGACCGGCTCAGAGACATGAATATTTGGCTAAATGGTCATTGTAACATGGCTGTGTGACAGGTAATCATCAATGCGTGTATTAGAAAGATCTGTGTAAATGTGTGTCGACAGGAAAGAGCAGCTTTCAGTAGTCAGCAAGATGAGAAAAGTCCAGTGGACGTAAAAGCCATTTGTCGCTTTGATTGGGGAGTCATTCACCTTCTTTAGGATCTGCTCTGCCAAGCTAAATGTCAAAACGTGGGAAAAAATATTTCAGGTAACAAAGATAAAAATGAAACCACTGAAAAATATTCAAACTGCAATTTTGTGAACTTGGAAAACCAACTGAAATAAAATTTGAAGATATATACAGGAAATATTCTTAGTTTCAGTGTTTGTTTCCTGATCAGACTTTGGTGTGTACAAGACTGTGAGTCACGTGCTTTTCCTGAACGCTGTTCTCACATATGTCCTCTGTGCAATAATAATTAATGGGGACTAGAAATAGCACTGAAACTAATAGAAACTAAAGTAAAACTAAACATTTTTAAAGACGAATAAACAAACGCACTCTGGAAACAAACTGAAACTAAACTGAATTAAAAGCCAAAAGTGAAAATTAAATTAAAACGAGGCTCCATAAATGTTAAAGAGGTAAGTATTTCTCAGTTGCATTGAATAGAGAATAAATTGTAGAAACCTAAACAGGAGAAAGTAGAAGAGAAATAACAATGTTAACATAAACCACTGACACACTCCGGGGCCTGATCAGCCCTGGCAGGGCCTCCTTGGATGAGGGTGTCCAGAGATAATGGCCAAAACACCCGATGAATCCAAGGTCCACTGCTGACGATGTGTCCCAAATTTTAATATGATAATTTAGATCAGATCTCTAACCCCTAAACCTAACCAAGGAAACATGGCAGATTAGCCTGGGTAAAAGACCGAAAGTTGAGGCACACAACGATATGTGCCGCTGGTAAAGTTTCTGGGCTACTTTTCCTCATAACAGCCATCCCTGAAAGATTTTCTCTATTTAAAGCAATGCATTACCAGGGACTGTAACATCTAGTCCTTTTACTGAGTGAATGAAAATAAAAACCAATTAGAAAACTGGAAAAACTGGGCAACATATTATATGTTGTGCCTCTGTTACATTATACTGACATTATATGAATTCTTCTTTGTGTTTTTTTCTTACTCTTATTTAAAAAGTGGTGATCAGCAAGGGGAGAAGTGACAGCTTTGGTTTTATCCTTGCTCTGCAGCAGAGATGCTTTAAAGAGGACATGAATAATACCCAGAGACGGGCCGTTGGTTTGTCGAGTGAGAGATTGTGCTGAGCAGCAGGAACAGTGACCCAGCACAGATAATTAGGCTGTGTTTGTGCTGCTCTGCTGTCTGAGTAGAGATTTTGTCCATGGGAAGTCTCACAATGCCGAGTAGCCTTATTTCACCTTTTGCTGCCAGCCAGTGTGTTATTGTCCAATTTGGTCTGAAGCAACCAATCTTAAAATGAAATGCATGAGGGTGGACTTGTTTTTAAAGGTCGTATTAAGTGATTTACAGACTGTGCTTGCTCTGCAAAGGTGCAGTTGAGTGTGAGCGGAGGCTAAGCCACTGCTGAATCAGTTACAGCTGTTAGCGGTGTGAAAGGAGTGCATGGTTTATATGAACTAACCCGGATAACCGCTCAGCTGCTGGCCTTTAATGCAGGAAGTGACTCATCTTAAGTGACTTTTTGTTGCTTTTAATTAAATCACTTGTTCTCAATCAACTACATATCACCTGAGTTAAAAAGAAAAAAACCCATAGGTGTCAATGTTTCTGTGAGAGGAAAAATTCTTCCATTGCTCTTCTATTTTTCTGTTTCCTGTTTATGTTTTTGCATTCTCACTATAGAGAGTGACATATATACAGTATGTGTAACAACAATAGGCAATGCAGGCAAGGCTAAAAATATAAGAAAATACTGTAAAACATTATACAAAAGCCCATTTATAGAGGTAGGTTTTTTTTTTCAATAGCACCTGATTGTGTTGAGCCTAATGGTCAAAGAAAAATTGCCCAACAGTTTTGGGCTAAAACAGTGAAAGCACAGTGTCCCTTTGTTTTAAAGACTGGACTGTGGAACCTTTAATCGATTGTCTGCTGTGAAGAGTCTGAGGGTGATATTCTGAGATCTAAAGTGGAGCCATAGCGTGGAGTGATTTAATCTTAAACTGCAGTCTGGAGTCATTTTGTATGAAGCAAAAATGGATTAGACTTGGACATGTGGCTAAAACTGAGTCGGTGATTGAAAACAATGTCAAGTTTTTAGCAGATTGCTTTTACTCAGTTATTACTTGTCCAACAAAGGGGACTAACATTATTAGAAATATGATCAGGACCAATAATGAGGACTTAAGTTTTTATCAGAGTTCAGCAGTAAGAATTAAAGGTACACAGTTCGTAAGAGAGACACTCGTGTATAATGGATTACATGGCTGAATAGATGCAGATATAAAGGAAACAAAACAGGTCCAAGGACTGAGCCCTGTGGGATCCCACGTGTTAAGATGTACTCTGTTTGATAAACTGCATAAGAGCCACTCGAGTGCCTTTCCATCTACACCATCTCACATTAGCAGCGATTAGCTTGTCACACATCACGTTGAAACTGATGGCTCTAACATGGCCCCAGTTGCCTAGGCGATGCTTATTTACTACCAGTCAGTCAAAGGTAATCTTCACTCTCATTGGTAGTCACTTCGGTTGCTTCCTTGAGGATTGAGATGAGTTTATTTCCTGCCCATTTCAGTGGATATGTCGTTTGTACTTGCTTGCCCAGTAAGGTCTCCAGTGTGTAGCCAGCTTCACTCTATTGAAGCGAATGGTTGGCAAAATCAAAGCTACAGTCAGGTCCAGTAAAATAACAAGAGCAAAAGTTAAAGTGCTGTTCATAAGCCTAACTGCAATAAAACAGCTCCTGTACTGATTCTTTCCCCTAAAGTCAGACTGAAATGGATCAAATCAGTTGTTGTGTTATGTATAATTTTTTTTAACATAATGAGCTTTCCAACATATTTTGACAGGTTTCACCATCATGTCTCCTCATATTCATCTGAACCTTTTTGTATGTAAAGTATTTTAGCAACTTTAATTACAGTTACACAAGTAACTGGTGTTGCAGACCGTTATTTTGTGAAAACATTACTTAATTAAAGGTTTATTCAGATTAACAGTGAACTGACTGTGAGCAGTTCAGGTAATTGACTATTTGATAGTTAATGTACTAATTTCCTGGTACATTAATATGTTCTGTTTCCTTTATAGATTTCTGTATTGACAGCTTTGATGTTTAAATGAAGCATTAATCAGCTCTGTTATATTGCCTGTGGTACAGTAACGTATGCATGAGTGCATGCAGTCAAATGCATTCTCTAGCGTGTTGCACGTAAGAATAAAACAGAAGATTTCCTTCTGTCTGGTGTCTTCAGGATTGAAGTCTTATTTCTGATTTTAATGTACTTAACACATCATGCTTCGAGCTAACCGAGTCGTTAAATACCAGTTGAGCTGTATAGATATTGTATAGTGTTCTCTTTACACCTTAACAGGCATTCATAAGTGCACATGCTCACAGCGACTGAGCATTTGGATTGCAGCTGTGTTTTCATGCAGTGGACGATAACCATGATAAGAACCATTTCCCATTAAAAGCATCTAATAAATCATTTGTGAGTTTGGCCTGTTTTCTTTTTAGATGCGTTTTTATAACCCTTTTTTCTACGTTACAAGACTTTGGATTTTTCCACTCTGTTTATTTATTTATTTATTTTTGGATTGATTGATTGACTGAAGGTCAGTTCTGTCAAATGAGCAGCATGTGGCTCATTTAGAAAACATCATTTAGAGTCCTCCAGTAATGCTCTGATTTAATTGAATAGTGTTGAGATTTAAAGTTTTGACAGACATGATTGGGATCCATGCTGAGCCATGTTCTGCTGACAGCTGACATTAGCATATCCCCAGAAAATGTGACATTTGAA